CTCAGTCCCCTTCCATGCCAACTCTTTTTCAAGTCATGGTGAACTACCACATCAAATACAATTACACTTCCTCTTCACTCCCACAGCTGAGCAGTACCTCTTTCCCATTTCCAATAACTTCTGTTTCTTCACAATTCTTAACCGTCTGGCAAACACCAAACTCCTATAACTGAGGTTCTGTCACCTAGACCTTCAGCCTGTCGCACAAAATTAGGGTGGGTCTGTCCTCTGTGTGCCTTATCGGCATATACATTTTTGGAGGGTCTCAGGACTTGTGACAAGAACACCTGGTTCCAGTCGCAAATGGGGGCTAAATAGCATGTGGCTCCTTATCCTATATGGTGAAGCATGAGACTTTTGACTCTGGAATAATATTGAGCACAGTTTGTACTATGTATAACCAGGTACAAAATAGTGCTCAGAAGTGTTTATGGAGTACCTGTACTGAAGTTTGCAGTAGCCAGGGTTGGGGTCCAGAGTTAGACCCACAGCAGTCTCCTGTTTCCCTCTGCAATTTCTGCCCTTGTGCACTTTTCCCTTTCCAGGCACAATGTGGAAATGAGCTGCATGTGAAGGAACAGAGCCTGAACAGGGTCTGACAGTAAAGGTGGCCAAGAAGGTTGCAGTGGGGGGAAGAATTTTTTTTTTTTTTTTTTTTTTTGGGGGGGGGGGGGGGGGGAGATCAGCAGCCCACCTAAGTCCTTCCCCCCAGCCACTATTTTCCCTGCTGTAGTGGTGGGAGGGAGTCAAATTCAAGACAACACTCCAATAATTAGATTCTCTATCTGGAAAATGATAACAAATTTATAATTTCCACATATAGAATCTAATTATTTGGGGGGTTGTCTTGTATTCAGGGTCATCTTGTATTCAAGTAAATATGGTAGATCATTTGCTTAGCATCCAAGTGCCACTTCACAAGGCTCTGGACTCATGAATGCTTTTCCTGAACTCAGTTGCCAGAACATTATTAATAAAAAAGTTAGGTGTTCCTGTTTTCATCAAATTCAACTTAAGAAAGGAGGTAAGTATGATCTCTGTTTCAAAGATGGAGAAATTTAGGCAGGTTCTTCATTTCTCTGTCTAAGGTCACCCAGCATGCAAGCAGCAGAGCCAGGAACAAAACCCTGGGTTCTCTATTCTATCTACAAAGCCACATTGCCTCCCATAACCAGTTCATAGAAGAAAAGTGGTATCTATTAGTATTTCATTTTTAATCAAATCTAGAATCCTAGCAGAATGTTTTTCTGAAATCCATCAAATTACCAATAACCCTTCCTTTCAAACTGTCTTTTTCCATAGCTTGGTAACCAGAGCCAACTAATTTGGAAGAAGCTGATCAGCCCCTGCTTTACTCTTGGTTACTCTAATTGTAGTAAAACTTGTGCACTTTAAAATTAATATCTTAGTGTGAAAAAAGCAAGGTTGATTTGCACTTTATAAACTAGTCAAAGTACAGATAAAGTACATGTAGCAAAAGCTTTCATGAGCTGAAGTTCACTTCATCAGAGTTGCATCTCACAAAAGCTTGTGCTGTTTATATACAAGACATTAAAACAAGCATTTTATATATACATACATTAGGAATTGGTTAAAGTTACTTGACTTCAGACTAACATGGCTAACTACATCTTTCAATTCAGAAAGATCATACACCCTACTCCTTCATTACTGAATTGTACTCTGAATACCTATTTGTTTACTCTCCATTAACTTAAATCTATGTCCCTGCTCAAACAATCAATTAGTTTGTTCAGGACTATTTTATATGCAATGACTTCAGGTATAATAGAAAGCTTTTTGCCCACTGACTCATGGTGAGGACTTCTTGTGGATGGACATGCCCATGGCCGATGTCCTGCCTGACAGCAATCATCATAAGCAGGACATGCTTTGTACTTCTCTTTTAATGACAGAAGAATTTTATTTTATTTATTAAGAATAGATTATGTCCCCTTTGCATTCCTACATCCATCTTTTCCTCTTATACTAAGATCTGCTAGCACTATCCAATCTGCCAATTCTTCTGAAACATCTCCTCAACCAGCCTGTTTTCAACTTCTCTAGCTCCAATATCATCTCACCTGGGATTCTGATGGTATCTCCCCTGGGGGACTGATCCAAAGATATCAAGAGGGTAACTGAAACTAGGACATCATTATTATTCACCAGAGTGCTGTGTGCAAGGGGGAAGGGGCAGGAGAAAAAAGGGACAGATACAATTTATGTAGAGAAGCCTGACTCACTGCATGAAAGCACAGTTAATAATTTCATTCGTTTCTCTATGTCCTAATGACAAATGAGGTCTAGTTTATCAGGATCATCTCTGAAAGCATCCTCCCTTCTGCAAACCCAGCATTAAACTCATATGCTGCATCTACACATGTACTTTACTGCAGAGCAGACTAATTAGCTGTGGAGGAAAGTGTTACCATCTACATGTGTGACACTATTAGGCTGCAGTAAGCTAATTTACATCACAGTAAGATAGCACTGCCATTAAACATGCCATTAAATGCTGACCACAGGCATAATTGTGCCCAGTTAGCCCAGACAGCAGGGGCCAGATTTTTGCCTGCCACCTAGCCACGCAGCTCAGCACTTCCAGCACCCTCATACCCCAGCCAACTCCTCTGCCACCTGACAGCTGCCACCTGGAGCCTGGGATAGAGCAGAACAGAAGTACCCCTTGGATAAACTGTTCTACTCCACTCAAATTGCTGCGGTCCTGGGCGCTTGTGTAGACCCTGCAACTGGCAGACATTTACTATGGCTCAAACTGCTCCAGAGTTTATTGCTCTGAATTAACTGCATGTGTAGATGCACCCAGAATGTGGTATTCTGTGAAGAAAACCATTTGGCTACATTTACTTCATGACCATGAGATTTAAGAACTGCAAGATGAATAACATTTAACTCACTTGCTCACTAAACAGCATCTTTCTTAGGTATGTAACTGGAATCAATACATATCCACAGAACTTGGATGCTGAAAATGATTGTGTGTTGCAACAAGACTGAAAACCTCAGGATGTCAGAATCTAATAGAAATACATCCACCTCTATTATATCCACTGCTGTTATTGAAGGCATCAGAACAGGGTGGACAATTTCCATTTTGATCTTGAGAAAGTATGGCTGGAAAGGACCTCACAATGCTTCGAGTACCTGCTTAGAAATTTAAGGATGAAATATAGCCTGACTCCACTTATATTTCTTGGACGCTATGAGAAACACAACGTAAATATTAGAATCTGATGGCCAGGAACAGGCTCTACAGTGACAATATTAGAGACGAGTCTTCTCACAATTCCTTTTTATTGCATTCAATGGGATTGCTGACTGAACATACTTTAGTTTTGAACAATCCCCTTATATAACTTTGGATGGGTGAATGCAAATGATTCTGGATTTCCACTCCTGCACGGATAGGAAAAAGGGAGCAGTCAGACATTCTTGATGTCAGTGGCTGGTTGGAGATGTGTGCTTTTTAAAAAAGCTTCTCTAAAAGCATCTCTCTACTGACAGATACCAAGGTGAGTCCCTGAAAAAAAACAAAGATAAAGGATTTATTTTTTACCTTCACTGAATCAAAAAATTCAAGATGGAAAAATCCACTGGATTATTTTATTTATTCCCTATCCAGTGCAGCATTGTTACCTATTGCACATCTGTCAATCCTTTATCCAACCTTGTTTTAAAAATCCAACAATTTCATTACTACTTCCCTTGGTGGCTATCATGGAGAAATGCTGTCAAAAAAAATCTTAGCATACCCAGCATTGGAGCCACCTAAGTAAAAATGCTTATATTTCTCTCAATGAGATAGGTGACTATTACAAATATCCTTTTTAGCCCAGCAAAAATGCTTTGCTTTTCCATAGGGCCTTTCAACCAAGAATGCCAGAAGTATCTACATCCATGAATTACATTTAGCTTTGCAGACAGAGCAGTGAGGTAACCAAGTACTAGTCATATTTTACAAGCAATGGATACAAGGGTAGTATCATTCATGCAATGTCACCTAGGAAGTTTGTGGAAGAATTGAAAGCAGGGCCTGGATCCCAGGAATGCCAGTTCTCACAGTTATGGCACATGAAGTCTGCCTAAATAGTACGCACATTTCTGAGAGTGCAATATCTTGGCAGAGAGAAGATTCAGCGTTCCAAGGTATTAAGGTTCCTTAGCAGTTGTGCTGACTTGAAATACTGCTCTCTCTCCCCCAAAACAAAGAAAGCCAAAAAACCCCCGAACAAACCACAAACCCACTGCAGCTGAACTTAACCCATGCTAGAAAGATATTTACCAAAGATCATAGCATTTAGTCCTGGACAGAGCTCTTGCCCAAAGGAGATTTCTATACAAGATACTGAAAACAGTTGTCAAAATATTGTTTTTGGAAACACCGCCCAAATTCCTTATAACCTTGGAGTTTGTTGCCTTGTGCCTAGTTACAGGGTCTTAAACCAGAAAGCTCTCCCTACCTCAGATTTAGCAGGGCTACAAAAGCCGCTTTTCTCCCCCTACCTGGCTGCTCCCCAGAAGTTCATTAAGGCCGCCTGGCACTAGCTTCACCCACCAATTATCCCACCTGCCTATGCAGACATTCGGGTGTTTTTTCCGGGGCAGGGGGACATTAAACTAGGCACCTGCCCAAGGAAGAGAACAACCCGTGGGGCAGGTCTCCATCCTCCTCCTGCCAGGGGAGCTGCAGCTTGCGGCACTACAAGAGGTGGGGAGGATGGCAAAGGCACAGGCTGGACCGGGGAGGGGGGAGCAGAGCCTCGCTGGGCGGGATCCATCTTGGGAGATGGCTCCAGAGCGGAAAGCGGCTCGGAGCCCGGCGGACCCTCTCCCCCTGCAAAGGAGGCGGCTGGCTTTCTCCCCCGCCACAGCAGGGGATGCACGTTGCAAACCCCGAGCTGCGGAGCGGCCGGGCGCTGCCCGGTCCCAGGAGGCAGGGGTGGGCAAGAGGCGGCCCGGCGCGGGGCTGCGCTCACCAGGCGGAGCTGGCTGGTCTCGTCGTAGGAGAGGAAGCCGAGGATGCCCTCGATGGCCACGATAGGCAGCCCCACCAGCGTGTTGCTCTGCGGCGGCTGCTCCACGGGCGTCAGGGCCGCCGACGGCTGCGGGGCGGGCGACGGGGACAGCCGCACCGAGCCCGGAGCCGGCG